TGTTATGGAATTACGAATTTTTCAACATCGCCCAAATTTCATGAATGAGAAGTAGTCAAAATCACTAATTTGGCCCCCAAGGGGACCCCCCCTGAAACTTTGCAAAAAAGCGCCGAGACACAAAACAAAATGTGTTTTGGAAATAACCTTGGAAGGGCACATTCACACACAAAGTTTGAAAGAAATCTATTTTTTCAACCAAAATGGTCATGAGGTTCTTACAGAGACAGCCTCTTAAATACAATAGTTTGAGGACTTATTTTGATATGTTTTGACTTAGCATCCGCTAGTTGCCCCCCAACTAACCGCTTGTTTGACCCCCAGTCAACTCCAAAAAGTCACGTGATTGATAGTAAGCAACTGGTGAGGAAAACAAGCCGAATTTGCATAAACCACCAAGTATTTCCTCCAGGGAATCCTCTGTCTTAACAGAAGCCAAAAATGAAATTCCAAGTGCCCCTCGAGACAAAGAAACAAAGAAAAACAAGAAGCCTAGTGCCCAAAAAGAAAAAGAGCCTTATTGCCCTAAAAGATCCAAACAAAAGAATGAATCCAACAGCACAAAGAAAGGCATCTTCATTGTCGGCGACTCGATGGCCAAATACTTACAAGGGCACAAGTTGTCGAAGACTTCAAAAGTCAAAGTTTGGACATTTCCTGGTTCTACAACTGCCGACATGAAATATCACGTCAAGCCACTTATAAATAAAAARCCAGATGAAATACTCTTACATGTTGGCACCAACAGTTTACGCTCATCCAGTTCTDCACAAGCTTGTGCTGAAGAAATTGCCAAGTTGGCCTCCCTTGTAGGTTGTATCGTCGTGTACGGGAATTGTCAGGGGAATTCTATTCAAATTCAAATTTCAAGTAATCGGCTAGTAATCGTACCCTACGATAGCATACATTGAACTATAATAAATATTTATGTGCACGCGCTGATGATACATCGTTTAAATATGACTAAAAAATGAGACCACCAAACCGAATTCAATTCGTGGTCTAGGGGTTAGGTTTAGGGTTAGGGTTGGGGTTGGCATTGTAGTAGTTCTTTGGTGCCGAAGGTACCGAGTTCGATTCTTGGTCTTCACTTAATTTTTTTTCTAAGTGAGGAGAACCAAAATTTCTAAGTCCCACTCGTGAGTATTCGGAAACCTATGACGTACTTCGTTAATCCATACACGACGATAGTACCCCCTTGTAAATAACAACTCAACAAAGGTAGCTGTCTCAAGTRTCATCCAGAGAAGCGACGACGAATCGCTAAACAGAAAGGCAAAAGAAGCCAACACTATCATCAAACAGATTTGCGAAAGGAACAACTGGAACTATATAGAACATTCCAACATCAAGCCTGATGAACATCTAAACCGGAGCGGGCTCCATCGAAATAGATCAGGAACCAAACAGTTTGCAACCAATTTTATTACTTTTTTAAAGAAGACATACGAACAAAATGTCGTGGAGCCCACAGAGAAAGGGAACAAGGGTAAGTCACGTAATTTAGACAAAATATTTGGTCGTGGTTTAACAATGGCTTCCTTAGATATTAATAGCTTAGTTGCGCACATTGATGAATTACGGGTGTTTCTCGCCGCATCTCCTGAAATTGATATCCTGGCAATCAATGAAACAAAATTAGACTCTACCATACTACTATACCTGCACTTTGGCGGACATTTTGGTCCCGCGTTTTCATGCGGTTAGCGGTAGATGGTTGGGTTTGAATTTTTAATTTCTGTATAAATTATCAGAAAAGTTAATTTATTCATGATTTTTTTTTGGCGCGCAAAAAGAGTATTTTTCTCTTTTCGTTTTATCGCTCTTGAAAAAAATATAGGTTTGATGTTTTTTCTTCCCTTTACCAAGACACTGCAGAATGAAGGAGACAATGAGATATTTTAAAAGAGTTTTATTTAGAAGACGTTTTCATTTCTTAGGGCTATAATACAAGTTACATTT